TGCGCCGCTGCCTGCAGCGTCTTCACACACAAACGAAACTTACTAGAGAAGCGTGAAGTGGGACATAATATACCTCTGTAAATAAATACAATTTAAATTCACGTCTCGCACACTTAAATGCCCTTTGTATGGAACATATACGCTCCCTTCAAACTGGAATCATGGAGGAATATCCGGTAATGTCCACTTCGCAGGGCACTTACAGTCAAATATAACAAACGTATGAAGCAATAAGAGAAACATACAAAATGTGCAGAGCGGGGGTACGCGATGACTGGAATTGAGAACTGCTGGTCTAGACATGCCAAAAATTTGACGCTACAGCACAGCAGCTCTTCTTCTTTGTTTTCTCTGATGCACTAACTCTGCAGCAGCTCTTCTTCTTCGTCGTCTCGTCTGATGCGCTCACTCAACCGAGCGTTCTAACCACAACCTCGCCCCTCCCCACCCCCCAACCATTCGAATTTCTGTAGGCGGGAATTATTTGTAATGAAATTCTAATAAGCCGCTTTGTGATATCACAAAGCCCGGAAAACAAACGCTGTAGTCCAAACGAGCCGTTCGTTGTAGTTCTTGAAAAGGGATTTTTTAAAAACTAAATATCTCCCTTTGGAGTGGACTTTGAGATTTGTAACTTTTTAGATCTTTTTAATGCCCAAACATACACACTACACACTGACTACAATTTAAAAAGTGAAAAAGCATAATAGGACCCCTTTAAAAATCTAATTGGGCACAAGTGATGAAATCGAATTCAGCTCAACTGTTTTTTTATTATTTTTATTATTATTTTAAATAGAAAAATTATCAAACACCAAACTCAAAGATATAACATGCAGAGGCATTTTTTATTATTATTTTATTATAAAATACCCAAATTTCCACATTTCCGCACGTTTCTTTTTTTTTCTTCCATCTGTGTTCTGTGCATTTGCTGTGTAAATAAAGGCAAATCTATCCTTCAACTGAAAATGAATGAATTGATTACAGGGATTTGGAAATACAATAAAAATAATAATAATAATAATAATAATACCACAACAGTGTATATAAGTGAATAAAAAAGCACATTTTAATAACCTGGAGTGTAGTCCAGAAAGCGGGTTTTGTTGTAAACTCAGAGTTTGTTAACCCCAGAAAAGGGAAACTCAGGGTTTTCGGTTCCAATAAAAGACAAAACTAAACCTCTGGGTAAGTATAACCATAGCAACTTACTCTGTGAACCTAACCTGGTCGGGAGCAGGTTTTCTTCAGTTTCTTTGGGTCTCCTCCCCCTTTTTAAAGCGTGAGTGATGTTTAAATACCTCATTCATGCTGCAAAAATTATTTTATTGCTGAGATTTTTGCCTTATTTCAAGTACAAAAATAAAAAAATTCTTAAATCAAGATGCAGTAAAATAAAATAAAATACGATATTTAGTCTTGTTTCCTGAGGGAAACAAGTCAAATTATCTGCCAGTGGGGTAAGAAAAATAATCTTAAACGGGTCATAAGATGCCCATTTTCCACAAGTTGATATGATTCTTTAGGGTCTTAACCCTTTCGCACGTGAGTTTAAAATATTCTAGCTGAGCCCCCAGCGTGAGTTTTTTTAGGCGACCGTTATTTTAAAATGTATCGCCTCACACACTGCCAACACACATTTCAGTTCAAACAACTTGTAAAAGTCGTGGCCTAATGGTTAGAGAGTCTGCCTCGTAACCCAAAAGGTTGCGAGTTCGAGTCTCGTACCGGCAGGGATTGTAGGTGGGAAAAGTGCATGTAGCATCCTGTGACCCCTTTAATGCAAATGGAAACAAGATCATTTTTTCTCACCACACCACTTTCATTTTCATCATGCAGACACTGTAAATGTGACAAAAATGACATGTCTTTTTACACAGGATTCTGTAGATGAGGAGGCTGCATTAATTCGCAGGGAGTTACATTTACATCAGGAGAGGATTTTATTTTATTTATTTATTTTGCCATATCCACATGCATATTTATTTAACCGGTACCATTTTTAAATGGCGTTCACTTGATAAAACCTTGTTGCGACCTCTAAGTAACCTAATAATTAGAATTTCCTTTAGGATTTCCAGTGTGGTTGGATGCATTGATGACGCGCATATTCCTATCTATCACTGTGCCTTCCGAAAATGAAACTGATGACTGTATGGAATGGAAGGATGCCAGATGGAAGCGTAGTGCAAGATATCTATGCCGTAACCACCACCACAGCTGTTAAACACAACTTATTCACAATTAATTTGGTCATCTTTATTTCCTACAAATACAATAGCAACAATTATTCTTTTCCCAGTTGGATTTTAATATTGTGGCCATCTCCTCTTCATCTGTCAGTGGTGCTGGTGCAGGTTCTCCCCCCATTTTACGAGTCTCTGCCTTCTTGCTGTTGGCTGAATAGAAGTCAAATGTTTATTTCATTACACTAATTAAGAAATGTATGTTGGATTAGAGAACATTTAATTATGTGAAAAGATCATTAGACTATGTGGAAAAGACCGCTGCACATTGAAATAGACACTGATAGCCTATTTATTGAATATGTCAAATGTTTCTAAAGTCATTTAGCCTACACTCATGAACCTTTTAAACTTGAAGCTTTACCTGATTTAATTATGTTTTTATGTTTAATTTTTTCTGCTGCCAGGTTTTTTTTTTTTTTGCCTGTGGGGTACCATAAAAATGAAGATTACTTCAATAACTTATTGTTCTGCCTGTTTTCACCTCTGATATTATAACAGTGATTAAGACTTAAAGTTACATATTGCCAGAGGCGGACAGTAATTAAGTACATTTACTTGAGTATTGTACTTAAGTACACTTTTTGAGTATCTG